GGCCTCTCAAGGTACTAAGATTTCAAGTGTGAGCCAGCCGACCTGAAAAACTTCATATTTTTTTTATTGGTGGTCTTTAAGATCTGTACCTTTTTTGTTCTAGATGCAGCAATAACTGGTCACTTCCCAGAAACCTAAAATAACCATGTTTATCATCAAAGAAGACTCACTGATGACCCTGGATAAATTGCTTAAGCTCTCAAAGACTGATATTCCCACTGTATAAAATGCCCAATAGGAATAGAAGTTCTTTAAGCTTCCTCCACATTGATTGATCAAGAATTCTATAGGTGTCATAAAATGGGAGTTCGATATTACTCATGTGTTGCTACTTCCATGACTAAGAGAAATGGTTATAAAGAATCTGGACTTTCTAAGGTTCATATTACTTGGGATTTTTTTCTTTCTTTCTTTCTCCCCTTTCTCTCTCTCTCTCTCTTCTGCTGTTTGTCTCTGTTTCCTTGAGCTATCTATCTCTTGGCATCCTTGGTACGGCTCCATCTGGCTCATTTGTTATTCATGAATTAACATGTGTTTTGCATACACTCGCCTTTTAACAACTGTTAATGTACACTGTAGCGTAGCAGCAAGGGTCTCCATGTTAGTTCGTGCACACCATCCGTCAGAAGTGTGTGAACATGCATGCCAATATCGATGTGTTTACTTAAACATTATGGGCATTAAATATGAAAATACCCATTTTATAATAAACACAAAAATAGAAAGTCAAAAGTCAAAACATACTATCACCGTATCTTAGTGGGTTGTCTTGGGCCAGCCTGCCTCTTTTGGGAGATCCCCAGTATCTAGGATGGTGGAGGGCTTCCGTTCCTTTGGGCTTAGATGGCAAACATTTGAGAATGAATATGTGATAAAGAAGAGGGTCTGCAAACCAAGAGTCTGGGCAGAAAGCGGGCAGAAAAGTGTCCTATTACTGAGTAAAATTCCAAGTCAGGGTTCCATATAGGTACAATAAAAGGAAAGATGAAGGAAGGCAGGCCTAGATCCTTCGAGGGAGACCAGACATCCAGACATTCATGGGAATTGTGGCAATGGATGGTATCTGTTTGTTTTTTGGGTGTAACATTGTGGACTGAACCAAAGACATGTAAGGTCCAAATACGTTGTATAGTCTGCCAGTTCTTGACCCTGGTCCTCTAATCTAGAGGCAATCATTACACCTTGTTGAAACCCAAATCCTTCAGAGAAACACCAAATCACACTGGCTCAGTCCTTTGCACCAGCATGTAAATGTATTTGACAGGTGTCCATAACGGTGAAGAAGAGAAAACTGTAATAAGACCCAAAGAAACTTAGAGAGACCCAAAAAGAGCAAATCTTAATGACTCAGGTGTCCGAGGATCTGTTCCTGGTCTAATTAACCCTTCATCCAGGCAACGGTCACGCCAGAGTTTGAAGGAGGCAAAGCATTAGTCCCCTAAAGGAACATTTTTCTTCTGACCCTTTGGGCAACATCGAGTTCCCTGAACTTGTCCAGAGGCTAACAAGGTCTGCTTTTGTGCTCTGAACCTTGAAAGTTTCCTCCAGAGTGACTTGGAAGAGAGTAAATATCTTCCTGTACCCTCTTCAATACCTCCCAGTCCTGCTTAGTAACCTCTGTAGCATCATCATCCCCTTTCTAAGACTTATTAAGGGAGGGACACGCAAAATACATCCTAATGACACATGCAAAGGAGTCAGATAGGGCTGGAATGAGGATGTCTAGAAATAACTCAAAGTGACAGAGACCTGCTCAGGAAGAGGAAGACACAAAGTGAGAAAATAAAAGGCCTAGGGTGACACAGAATGGGAAAAAAAGAAAAGAAAAAAAGAGCTTGGCCACCATGATTGGTGAGGAAACACTTTAGAAAAGGAAGAAATGGGCAGAAAAGTGTCCTATTACTGAGCAAAATTCCGAGTCAAGGTTCCATTTAAGTGTTACTCAATTCAATGTCATGTATTAACCCAGACTCTGCCTTGAAATCATAGTGCTTCTTAACACTAAGGCATGTCCAATATGCTAAGCTTTGTTGACAAAGAAAATACCTTATAACATAATTAAGTCCTACAACATCCCTATAAGGTAGATATTGTTATTATTATTATCATTCCAATTTTGCAAATAAGGAAAACAAAGCACAAAGATGGTAAAGTCACCAGCTCAATGTCACCCAGCTGGTAGGGGTCAGATCGGAGGCTGGGAGCTGAGGTGGTCAACCTGCAGAGCTTGCCACCTATACACAGAAGACTCTACTCCTACTGCAGAGGATCTGCATTAGAAAGCATGGTTGAGAGATTCAGGGTTTCCGTGCTCTGAAGGAAAGCCCTTTAACTTCACGACTTTCTTTTTTCCATACTAACTAGTATTTAGTAGAGAGAATGGTGCTGTGAAATGACTGCTCAGCTGGGAAGCAGCATGTTGGTCTCTTGGCCACTCTTGGCTTCAATTTGTAGGGATTCAGGCTGTTTTCTGCTCAAAGATTCTACAGTATATAGATTAACCATTATAGCTTATTAAAGACATGTTTAAAGGGGGTTAAAAATTATCTAATGATCTCAGCAGAGACAAGTAATATTTGAAATCTGTTCATTTAGAAAGCTAAATGAACACATTCCTTCCAGAAGCACTAAGATTCACCATACATGGTAAATATTTGTTTGGACAAATTTTAAATTGAGGATCATTTGATTGATAGATAATTGCTTCCAGCGTCAGCTAAAGATGCTCAACTGTCGCTGCCAGTTCTCACATAGATGTGTTATCTCTTTCTGTTTTCTTTCTCTCTCATTTAAAAAAAAAATTTAAATTTAAAAAACTTCTTCAATAGAGATGGGGTCTCTCTGTGTTGCCCAGGCTGGTCTCAAACTCATGGGCTTATGTGATTATCTCATCTCAGCTTCCCAAAGGGCTGGGATTATAAGCATGTGCCACGGTGCCCAGCTACTCTCTCTCATTTTTTAAAAAAACTGTGAACACTCTTTTCATATTACCAGTTCTTAAGTTGATTTCTTCACTAAGGGAGAAACACATGACTCCCATTTTATCCAAAGGACCCAAGTTGTTAGAAGCCCCAGAGGCAAGGCTGTGGGATGCACCCTGCAGGAGCCTCAGGTCGTGCAGACCTCCATCCACCCTGCAGGTATCTCCTGAGCCCAGCTCCATTCCACACTCAAGTTCTACAGGAATTCCCAATGCCCATTCCTCCTTCTTCCCAGGTAATCTTCCACTATCACATGAGACAGTCAAGGCGTGGAGGAAGGACTGCCTTATGATCCTTAAAGATCTTCCCAGTCCCGAAAGTTTAAATATAGGCACATGTATGCTCCCCAGCCTAGGAGGCAGAAAAGATGAATAAAGTCAGGAAAGCTGTATAGAGCTGGTCTTAAAAAGGAAAGTTGATTTTTAAATAAAGAGACAGAAGAAACAGGAGAAAGTATTTAATTCTTCTCCATTAGGGATTGTTACTGGATGAGAAGAGAAATGCTCTGTTTGCATTAAACACAAAGGTCTGATTCTTATTTGCTTCCTGACGATTTCTTTTGATTCCCTGGCCATAGGCCAGTGCTTATTTTCATGGCCCTTTTACAAATAATAAATATTATTTTTATGGCTAATTAACACAATCGGTATTTTAATTTACTTCTTACTTCTGGAAAAGTTAGTGTCCAGAGAAACAACAACAAAAAAAAGCTAGATTCTCTTAAAGGTAATTTGTTCAAACAGTTCTCTCGTTATTTTTTTTAATAATAAGTTTAAAAATCTATTATTATAGAGTAATTGCTCATCAAATTTCTTTTTAAAAGTCAAAGCAATTTTCAAATTATAAAGAACTTCTCAAATGTGTCTAGATAATTATGAGGCTCTACTTTATATAACTCCTATTACTTCAGTAGGCTGCAAGGCCTGTTTCAGTCTTTGCCATGGGAGCACAAGATTGCATCAACTGTGTTCACGTGTAAAGCACCCTGTGATGCATGTTAAAGACAGTACATTTCTGTTGTTGCAAACAGGCCCATATGGGAATCATCTATCAACTTCCTAAAGCATCACTGTTGCGACCAGTACAAATTATGTTCTCCAAGTTTTAAGGATGATAAAGCTGTATGAGAGATTAGGTAGGTAGGTAGGTAGGTAGGTAGGTAGGTAGGTAGGTAGACAGACAGACAGACAGACAGACAGACAGACAGACAGATAGATAGATAGATAGATAGATAGATAGATAGGTTGATAAAATAGGTAGATAAATGAGCTATGACTAACTCATCCCCCTTGGGAAAGAAAAATGGTTAAAGGCCACGGAAATTCTGGGATCTCCAGAAAGACTCTTGGCATCAACAGAACAGCTACCCTTGGGACAGGACCCCTGAAACTTTTCCATGGCTCCACATCTCTCACCGAGTTGAAAACTTGCCACAATTTCTTCCTACCACACATAATCTGATTTTTTAAATTGTCTGTGTGTACATATGAAGGCAAATATCTGTTTTACTTAAACATTGAAAAAAAGGCAAAATTTCGGATTCTCTAGGGTTGTGAACTGACTCTGGGAGATTTAGGGGAATCATGAAAACATATATATAAGAATTCTTAACGTTGATCACACACGTGTGTGCATGTTTATGCACACATGCACGGGAGCACACAAACACACATTCACTGCACCTATGTCGGCCCTTCTCTATTTGATTCTCCATTTTACTCAATTGCCCGCATCCTGGGACCTCCTAGATACTTTTTCCGGGCCCTTCGTTATCTAATCACTGCTCCCCTTAAATGCAGAGGCAAAGAGACACCTAGAGCAGCTCAGAAAAGGGTCTGGTTCACTTTAAACATTACTTTTCTCATCATTATTCTCTACCCCCCAATACAGTTGCCGGCTGTGATCTGCTGCCTTTCAACTTGGAATAAAATACATTACTTATGCAGCGAATGTTTTTAATGTAACAAAGCAAAGGAATAAAAATGCCTTACAACAGTTTTATTAAAAACAAATTCCCACAGTAAATACATATACACTCCGTCTCTGGGAGCAAAACAGCCAAGGACATCACCGCTAAGTGCTCTGGGAAGTGCTTATAAATTACTTGAAATAAAAAACATTGTTGCCTGGACATCAGGGATGAAATGCTGCAGTTTGTAATAAATTAACACAGAACTTTACTTCCCCTCCTCGAACAAAGCAGCCATTTGTCTGAATAACCCACATTCAGCTGTGAGTTATATTTTCACAACTGCAACTGCATTCATTTGCAAATTATTCTGCAGTTTTAATGCTCAAGTTTTAAATACCTTGAAAACTAATAAATAAAGCAAAGTAGAGCAAACAGTTGGCTTGTAGTTTAAAAACTGCCCTAATTTCTGCTTTTCTTTTGGCTTTTTTCCTTTCAAAGTTATTATTTTTTTTTTTGTAAACGGTATAAAGTTTCTTTAAACTACATTTTAAAAATAAGTCTAAAATATGTTTGGTGGTATTCACACTGGAGAGAAGTTTCCATAATTCCATTAACTGTGAGTATTCAGCTAGTGCTCATTTTATATTTTTAGGACTTTTCTTCTACCAATACTTTAATTTAGTGACAGAATAATTTATAACTATCTTTGAGGGGTTTCTTATTGTTTGTAACTTTTGTCTGCAAGTCTTGGATTTGGTTAGATTTTTGTTTCTCTCTCTCCCTCTACTAGATTTTGTCCAGAAAAAAAAAAAATCTCCAAAGAAAAGTCGTGTCACTTCCCTTGAATTATTTTGATTATAAAACAAAAACTCTGTAAGAAAACTCTTTTCACAACCTGCTCGGTAAAACAAAACGAACCGCTTTCCAGGTTCTTGAAAGAAAAATTTGATAGAAGCATTTACAGATTTAGTTTGAGATTTGAAGGTTATGTTCCTGGCCAAAAGAAAAAAAAAATGCCCAGTTCCCTTGTTCGGAGTTACTAGCTTTGTCGAATTTCTTTTGCATTGTTTTAAATAAGGTCTAGTGTAGGCAACTGTACTGCATGAAAGTAATGCCACCATTTTCAGGAAGCGATCTGGGGAGGAAAACTCTTCAGAAGCATGTTATTTTCAGAAAAGTGCCTCATAAAATATTTTTATAAAGTAGGAGTTGAAATCATTTAAAAATCACTCTCTTTTATAAATCTGTTTGGAGAAAGATCTTTTGATCCTCTCTTTCTTCTGATCCTTAGCTTTTATTTTGCTTAGAGGTAAACAACATTTGCCTCATTTAAACAACGGCATTTGCCATTGTGGTTCTTAAATCGTTTTCCAGCCACCCTATGGCAATTCATCACACGGGATAGAATAAGGATACTTTGCATCCAAGACTTTTATCACCTCCCAGAAAATGTTTGTTGTTTTTTGCTTTCGTGTTTTTTTCTTCTCTCTCTCTCTCCTGCCCCTACCCCCACCCCGAGCTGCGGGGGATTGTTTTAGGACATTTCAAAGCCTTTTGTGAAGAGGCAACCAAAGTCCTTCTGCGGAGAAAAAGAAATGCTTGATTACATGCACTGCAAAACGGGAGATATTTCCAAATGCCCTTTTAATTAAGATGTCTAAATAGCCATTTCCTTGGAGAGAGAGATTTCCAAGCAGTTTAAAAATAAGGATGCTTAACTGCAGCAGACATTCTGCCCTCTCTGACCCTGTAGGCTAGGGGCTGTCACCTGGGGAGCTGGTAAATGGACATTCATTCCTATAACTCCATAAAGGTCAGATGGGGAGGCGCACCCAAAACGGAGGTCGGGATGCGGAGGTAATCGTAGGACCATGGGCTTCTATTAAGAGAAACTCGCTTCTCTAGTGAGCCAGGTCATTTCTGAAAGTGCATACACCTTTGTCATTTTTCAAAATCACTCAGCGATGACTGGTTTGGTGCTATTTGATTCTCTGACCATCCAAGCCCGATTAAGAGCATTTGCTAAGGCCCTAAGGACTTCATAGCTGGCCACCCATCTGGTGTTAGGCTTGAGTCTGTGAAAATCCCTCAGCTTAGCACTGAATATTCTTTTTAAAGACGTTTAAGTAAAAGGGCTGACATTAGCATATGTTCCCCCCAAGTGTCCTGTTGAACTTTCTGCTGGGCATCACCCTACCACGGGCTTTCTGGATGTTGTCCAATGAGAGATTGGCTTGGAACTGTAAAATTAGCCATCTGCCTATTAAAAATGTAACCAGCTGCATCCGATGAAACACAGTGACTATTGAAATGAACTCATCCGGGAGAGAACTCGAGTCCCCTGCTTGGACATTTTTCCAATCTACTGCTAGACTGAGACACTCCACAAGCAAAGAGTCTTTCGTCCTTGTTTGGAGGAAAGCGGCATGACTCTCAAGAATGAAGAAGACTTGCGTGTTTGTTTTGTTGCTAAAATTCTGGCATTTCTCAGGATGAGTTGGACTTGAAGTGCAGAATTCTCAATTTGTCTGCCATTTGTTTAAAACACTCTCTGTTGCAAGAAAAGTAAAACATAAAATAAATAAGCACACCCCTAGTACCTCCCTCACTTCAAGATGTTATGTTAAATCCTGGGTACATCTAATAAACCTTAATCCCCAAGCCTAAAATACTGTAAGCAGCACAAAGTAACTTCAAACAGAGAGCTGGAGCCATAATCATTCCTGCAAGCGCTACCATTTCACCAGATATTAGGCATTCTATATTTACCACAAGGTCTGTTTATTAAAAATGAGAAGTTTCAATAGCTTGCGCTATTTTTTTCCCTAAAGCCTAATGGAGCATTAAAAAATAATTCATTAACTAATTAACAAAACTGTGTTTATTTACAGTATATAAAATGTTTCTATCAGGAAAATAACACACCATAATACAGCGTTGTGTTGACAGCAAAACATCTGCAGCTTAATTTAATGCATTTACTAAATGACGAGGGGAAATCAAAGGATGTTTAAACAGCTACTTCTCTGCCTGTGATTTGTGTTTCTCTTTAGAGGTCACAGGCACCAAGAAAAGATGCCCCTTGGGAAGCCAGAGCTGTTTTCAAAGGTGCTCAATACAAAAATCTTTATGCAATTAAGGAAGACCGGTCTACACATGGCTTGGACTCCGAGCCAGTTATCACAGATGGGTCCAAGCAAATGTCCTAAATCTAACTGCTTAGAAGTCACTAAGTGCTGTTAGGTTGAACCATATGAAGATGTCTTTTTTATAGGTCAAAATCTGCCAAATATTGACAGCTTTATTACATTCAATCTGATGTTTCCCATTTGGACTTCCTTCCCTACCTTCCTTCCATCCTCTCTTCTTTCTTTCCTTCCTTTCTTCCTTCCTCCCTCTTTTTTCTCTTTTTCTCTTTTCTGTCTTCCCTTCCCCCCTTCTCTTTCTTTCTCTCTCTCCTACTCTCCCTCCCCTCTTCTTTCTTATATTGTCTTTGGCAGGATTTTTGCAAACATAAAAAATTAGACTCAAAGTAAGTATGAATTGATAAAGTTGCCTATTAGATTATTCTATTTTAAAATGCGTTTTGCTAGGTTTATTTTTCCACTAATCTCACCTCTGCTCCTGCCTGAAACTTCTCAGAAGGCAAAGGGTTTTTGTTTGATTGTAGGTCTGATTTTCTTATCGCCACCCTAATATGAAATTCCAAGAAAATTGTATGTGTTGTGGTAGTAATAACATTACATGCAATTCAGGTAGATATTTCTTCTCTCAGAAGAAAAGATAATAGTCTGGTAAAAAAAAATCAGCAATAATATAGGCAAACGTAATGTTTTGAGAATTTCTCTTTCATTCACTTAGACCTAAAGCTTAGCGTGATCTTAGGAATTACAAAGTGAACTAGAAAAAAAACATCATTTTCTCCATAACACCCAAGCATATTCTTAACATCTACCTTTGTTATAATGGTGCACTAATAATAAAATGTTTTATTTCAACTCGGCTACTCAGAGGCCATCCATGCTGCCTTTCTACAGTAGAACCCTGGCTGTGTAACAGCCATAAGGACATTTCATATAGTAATTTCACCTGTTTCAGACGCAAACACATTTTAAGCCTCTTAAGCTGCATAGAACAAATAGGCTATATCCTGAAAATCAGAGTACTGTTTAAAATTAGATTTTTTAAAAAGTCTAGTTCAGCAAATAGTACTAACTGAACAGAATGGTTTTAACTATGTCCCTCTGGATTTATACGTGGGGAGTCTATTAACTCACAATACTAATATCTGTTGTATAGTTGCAATCATGCATTGCTTAACTATGAAGGGGGTATGTTCTGAGAAATTTGCTGTTAGGCTCTCTCATCTGCAAACACTGCAGAGTGCACTTACACAAATCTAGATGGTATAGCCTACTACACACCTAAGCTATATAATATGGTCTTTTGCTTCTAGGCTGCAAACCTGTGCGGCATGTTACTGTGCTGAATACTGTAGGCAGTTGTAAGACAATCGTATTTGTAACTCTAAACACAACTAAACATAGAAAAAGTAAAGTAAAAATGCAGAATTATAATCTTATGGGACCACCACCATATATTTGCTCCATCATTGATCAAAATGTCATTATACAGTGCATGACTGTCTATGACTGTTCTGTTGTGGGTTGAGCGTGGACATTGGTTTGGTTCCCTGTACTGAGGCGGTGTTAGGGAACCATCCATGCAACCTCGTTACCTTTCCCCCTCCACCAGCTCCAAATCTTAAGGTCACTGTTAAAGTCGGACACCAAATATCTGCAACCTTACATCAGAGTTCTCTTTTGACCAGGGATAGAAATCACTTAGTTAGTGGTAGCAAATGTGCTACCACTAACCCTGCCTGTGACCTCTGCAGACATCACTAGTGGATTACAGCAGTCTTCCTCATTGACCCCAGGCAAAGCCTCAGAAGGCTTCTCAAAACATATACTACAAATCAATCAGAGTTGGCTCAACAGATGAAAACTCTTAGCTGAAACTAACAGAGCCACATGGAGATCAAATCAAGGACCTTAAAACAACAGGATAAATTGTTTCACCACCAGTTTGTCCAGTGTGGCCTCAATTAACTGTATCCTAACTGATCATCTTCAATTAAACAGGTTTGTTTGTCTTTTAGCTACACTTTATCTGTAAGACAAAGAGATACACATTATTTTCTTTAAAAGCACATATCAAGGGATTACTGGGATCTATAACCTTTCAGGCTATTTTCTGTAGTCAGGTCACAAGTAACCTCATCTTTTATTCCATCTGCACTAATCCCTGCAGGCTTGGACAGTGCAAAATGTTTAGACTGACAACCTAAAGCAGATTTGTTTTTCTCAACTATACTTCTTATAGACTCAGAAGTTTCCCAAAATAAGAAAAAATATACTCAGAGAGTAAAAACTAATACCAGGAAAGATTTCCTGGAAGGATTCCTACCCCTGATTTCATTTGCATTTTGAACCATGGAGATAATATTCTAATCAGTGATGAGTGAGTGCACATTCCTGCATAGGGCCTTCTATGGCTCCCATTACCCACAAAATAGCCCACTCACTTTTCTGTGTAAAAGAAAAAGTGCTTTATGGATCCTTATCTCACTCAGTCTTACACCTCCACCCCCACCCCCATTCTATATTCAACCTCCATAAATTATTTACCTACATTGTTTTCTCAGACCCCTGTGCCCTTGCATGGACTATATTTCCTGCCAGGCATATGCTATTTTCTGTGCCTGGTTAACTTTTTTTTCTGTGAGAGGAGTCTCACTCTATCGCCCAGGCTGAAGTTCAGTGGCTCAATCTTGGCTCACCGCAACCTCCATCTCCTGGATTCAAGCGATATTTTCACCTCAGCCTCCCTGGGATTACAGGTGAGTGGCACTACGCCTGGCTAATTTTTGAGCTTTCACCATGTTGATTGGCCAGGCTGGTCTCGAACGCCTGACCTCAGAAGATCTGCTCGGCTCAGCCTCCCAAAGTGCTAGGATTATAGGCGTGAGCCACCACACCCCACCTGCCTGGTTAACGTCTACTTATCCTTCATTCCTCATGTCCCTCAAATCCTGGTTCACATATCAACTTCCATTTGTGCCTGAGCACACAGAGTCCAATGTAGACAGAGTCCAATGCTCTCTTCCCTAAATATAATTGTGTAATTTTTTTCCCCTTCTTCTCCTTCTCCTTCTTCTCCTTCTCCTTCTCCTCCTCCTTCTCCTTCTCCTTCTCCTCCTTCTCCTTCTCCTTCTCCTTCTCCTTCTCCTTCTTCTTCTTCTTTTCTTTTTTAATACAATCACTCTGTGCCCCAAGCTGAAGTGCAGTGGTGAGATCTTGGCTCATGGCCACCTTTGCCTCCTGGATTCAAGAGAATCTCTTGCCTCAGCTTCCCGAGTAGCTGGGATTACAGGCGTGTGTCACCGCAGCCAGCTAATTTTTGTATTTTTATTAGAGACAGGGTTTCACCATGTTGGCCAAGATGGTCTTGAATTCCTAGTCTCAAGTGATCGTTCCACCTTATTCTCCGAAAGCACTGGGATTACAGGTGTGAGCCACTGCGCCCAGCCTGTGTCATTTATTTCTGAAGTAGACTGGTTAAGAGCCCAGACCCTGAAGCAAGATTCCCCAGTCTACAATGCTAGCTGCCCTCTTGCTAGTTAGGAGTCTTCAGAAAAGTGATTTAACCTCTCTATGACTTGGTTTTTCATCTGTAAAATGGACGTAATAGTAACTAACTAAAGATTAAGAACAGATACATATGCAATATGCTCAGAATGGCAAATAGTATCAATACCTGTTAGCTATTATTTTCTATGATAACTTTCAATTCCCATGTCTGTGAATCTCCCACTGAACACATGGAGCTTACTCTTTTCATCCTGTACTCCCCATTTTTGCCTGGAGCCTGACATGGTGTAAGCATTCAAGGAAGGTTTGCTGGCACTTGTTCAAATGAAGAATAAGAGAATGGGAAAAGTAAAGAAAATGTGGATGGTGTTGGGAGCAATGGAAACATACACTAATATAAGGATCGACAAACAAATAGAGAACATGTGTGTTCTACTAATACGTACACTTTGTGAAAAGGTAGTTGAAAATACAGCTTCTTCTATATTAATGTTAGGCTTACATATAGCCACTCATCAAGGGAAAGTAGAGAATTATCACATCTGTAGGAGCAAAAACGTCACTGGGCTAAGTTATTTTCCACCTCCATGGTGAGAATAAGAGATCCCATGAAACATGATGCTAAATATATGGTCTTTTTTCAATCTATACGCTGATAACCAAAAATCCAAACCAGCTCATGCTACATAGAAGAAGAGGGTGGGTGTGAAAGAGCTGTTGAAAGGTCCAGGTCTCTGGGGCTGGAGGAGAAATGTCCTCTTTAGGGTAGATGTCCTCCACTAATGCACACAGCCTCTAGAGCCAGATTACCTGGGTTTGAGTCTCAGCCACGACATTTACCAGCTGGGTGACCCCAGGCCAGGCACGTCCCCTTTTTGTCTTCAGTTACCTTGCCTGTAAAATAAGGGATAATGTGGGCATGACCTCATAGGGTTGTTGTGAAGTGAAATGAGATAATCCTCGTAAATCCCTAAGCACTGCACCTGGCACAAACATGCACTTCATAAATGCATGCGGTCATGATTACCAAATGAGGCTTCTCAACCGGGACTCGGAGACTTGGTTGGTGAGGCTGGGATGCAAGGAAGCTTCCAGATAGGAAGAGACAGGCTGGGACCTAGGAGAATGCATTTGGCATTAAGTGGGAAAGAGAGAGTGTGCTTGCTTCTGTTCCCTGTGTTTGGATTGGCTTTTTAAACAGCACAACCTCCACTAACCTTAGTTGCAACACTGCACTGAAATGTTACTCCCAGGATTTGACATTTCCTTATTCTTCCTACGACTGTTTTCTCCTTTGTTGCTTTGAAAATATGAATTAATGATGAATACTAATGAGCCCTGTGACAAGCCAACCTCCGTCTAGACACCACTAATATCGGGAGCTTCAAGACTCACGACACTTCTAAGGAGGGAAGATGTAAAGAATCTTTTCCCTGATTTCCAAACTCACATGGCTCCAAAAGTCATTTTCTCCCCCTTTCCTCCCATCCAACTCCTTTCCTTTAAAATTTTTAAAGAATCTTCAAGAAAGCCGCATGAATGAGACTTTGAACTTGTTCATAAGATTTTATGTGCCTACCTGGAGTAGACATTAAATTGCTTTTTTTGTTAAAGTACTGTTGCATTTATGAAAATCTTTCTGGATGCCTTTTTATCACCCTGTGCTTGCTTTTTTTTCTTTTATTGTTCCTTATGTTGTTTCATGGAGCTTGGGGATTTGTGAAGCAGCCAACCAGAGGGAACTGAAGTCATTGATACTGAACACACAGTGACTTCCTAGCTGATGCCAATTTCCCCTCCCCCTCCAATAAAAACAGTCATATTTGTCTGCCTTTGGCATCAAAGACAATTTTTATTGCATGGTCTGTACATGATGATAGAATTCTGAGGATAAAAATCCAAAGAGAAACTAAGAAAAAAACTATCATATGGAGGATTTTAGAGTAAAGCTGAACAACTGATTTGGGTTCTGTAAACTTAGACAACTTGTCAGTCCATGTCACTATTTACACCAAAGACGTTCTGTGCATTCAGTAGCTATTGTATTAGGGAACAGCTTTCAGAAGCAAACAGAACCTTGCCATTAGGGCTCTCTCTCCACCCTGAGTTCCCTTTCTTGGCTGCACTCCGTGGATTAGAGGGCTGGACATCAACAACTGAGGGAAAAAATGATAAGAGATGGGCACCCAGCAAGACCCTAGTACTCACCAGAGCCATCACAAATCAGTTCTTGACTTCACTGACCCCTGGAAGTGCTCCCATTGAAACAGTAAAAGAAGCTCTATACTGAAGATGTAGATTCAAATCCTAATTGGCCAGCCGATGTGGCTCACACTTTTCATCCCAGCACTTTCGGAGGCTGAGGCAGGCAGATCACTTGAGGTCAGGAGTTCAAGACCAGCCTGGCCAACATGGCGAAATCCTGTCTCTACTAAAAATGTAAAAAATTAGCTGGGCATGGTGGTACTCACATGCAATCCAAGCTACTCAGGAAGCTGAGGCAGAATAGCTTGAACCCGGGAGGCAGAGTTTACAGTGAGCTGAGATCATGCTACTGTACTCCAGTCTGAGCAACAGAGTAAAACCCTGTCTCAAAACACGAAAACAAAAACAAAGTAAACCACCTAATTAGTATGTGACCTTCAGTCTATTAGCCCCATGACTTAGTTTACTTATTGTAAAATATGGATACTGTTAGAACCTCCTTCTTCTGACTGTCAAAAGGATTAAATTAGATACTTAGAATATCTATGAAACTTAGTCTCTGGCTAGTGGTAAGAGTTCAAGTGTTTCTTGCCAGTGTAGATAAATATAAGCAGGTCACGTGATAAAGGAACTAAACTTACCCAGTTGCTCCTACTCACTGGAGAAAACATTCTATCCAAGATTCAGCAGGAGTTGGTGGCTTTCTTGCCCAGGAATTCCTGCATGCAGAAACTCTCCAAAATAGAGTCAGAATTGTCTCCATTTTACTAAAATTGTCTTTAACTTGCTTTCTCATTTCAAGCACGAATTTCACATTTACCACCCCATGAGTTTTCTAATAATTTCTTCATCAAATCATACATCACCTATTAGCATATGTATTTATTCAAAAACAAATTCAACTAGAACCTCCCAGTTCTAGGTGTGGAGGTAGTGGGCAGTGTCAGGGGTTCGGTGGGGATGCAGGCTCATAGAAATCACAAACTGTGAAACAGTCCCTGTCCTGGAGAAAGTCATGAGCAAATGGGTGCCTGCAGGCACTTAAATGACAATATCAGTGGTAGTTTAGTACAAAGACTATGAGTGTGGTCTCTGAGCCAGACTTTCTGAGATGCAATCTAGTCTCCAGCGCTAAACAGCTGTGTGACCCTGGACAGATCTCTTACCCCTCTGTTCCTCACTTTCCTCATCTACGAAATGGGCATGAAAATTATATCCACTTCATGGAGTTGAATGAGATGATATGTCTAAAACATTTAGAATAATGCCTAATACATTATCATATTATGCAAACTTTATCTTAAAAACTAATGAATGAAAATTATAATTTGGCGTGCTGTGGACCAAGCCCCGTGTTAAGATAGGCTTTGCATTGATTATCTGTCTCATTTCACCCTTGCAAGGAAATGCACACATCAACCCTGGAGCCTTTACTTGGCCCTGGTTCTAAATTGGAGTTAATGAAGTACCTTCCTATAACATTGTCAAAAGGATTCAATGAGTTAATACGTGTCGAGTAGTTAGGGCTAGGCCAGCACAAAGTAAGGCTTAAGCAAGACAAGCTTACAAAGTTTAAATAGCTTGCCTGGATTCACATGGCCAATTGATAAGGGTTGAATCATTATTTAAACACAGGCATGCAATTACTACCTTACCACAGTGACTGACTGAAGAGAATGCACAATCAGACTCAGGTCTATGCAAAGCTTTGTGAAAGCACAAATCCTTCAGTCGTGCCTGGGAAGATCAGGGGAGTTTACATGCAGCAGATGATCCATTCCTTCCTTCCCTCCCTCCCTTCCTTTTTTCCTTCCTTCCTTCTTTCCTCCCTTCCTTCCCTCATTCCTTCCTCCCTCCCTCCCTTCCTCTTTTTCTATGACAATGGCAGTAGACATTTATTTACTTTGGTTCAGTGCAATAGTAATGACTCAGTATACACCAAAAAATGTTACAAACTCCTGTGGGTCAAGAGACGTGATCGTTTATCACAAGCCAAGATGTAGTCACATATCACGTGATCACACAGGCTGGTAGCTGGCTTCAGTGGTGGTTGGGCTGACTCAGCCTGAAGCAAGAGGAAAGCAAATGTGGTTAATTAAGACTGCAGGGAATGTTTAGACTGTGTGCAACCGATACCCTGGCCACCGTCTCCATGTTTTCCTGCAGAGGAAATTTGCATACAACTCAAATATTACTATGCTTCCTAAAACTCTCCCAGATACTGTCAGGGAAGGAATTGAGAAGGACTTAGCACTTTTAGAATTACCCCAGTTCCACGCTTAAAGAGTGGCGATTGATTAGAAAGGACAAGCAGTAATTCCCGAATTATGCTTCTATTTATACTTCAATTACAACACTGCGAGAAGAAAACAAGACTTGTGTTTCTTCGTGGCTTCTGTAGAACTGGGCTTAGTGTCTCTCACATAGATGATGCCCATAAAGGAATGGTGAACCAAGGGATGAAACAGAGAGAGACTTTATTATGTGTTTGATAGAATGGCAGAGATCTCTTGGCGCTTTAGGGAAAGATCCCAAAATAAAAACAGGCAAAGTACAAGTTATCTTTCCTAACAACTAGTAGAGCAGGACCTATTGGGAAAACACACCCTGGAGCTGTTTTTTAAACTCTAAATAAAAGACGATTCACCCTCCTGTTAATTGTTCCTTTAGCTTCCAAAATCAGCCAGTTGGCACAAGACACTAACACATACCTACATCATTAAAGAGATCCTCCGAGTACAGCTCCTAACGCAAGTGATGCTCCCAAGCAGGTCTGGAGTGACCGTAGTTCCACAGGCCCCTCCAAGAAATAAGGGTTCTTGTTCCAGTAAGTAGAGAAATGCGGCAACAATAACCCTTTCTTGGAGATTCACAATGCACACTATTCTGTTAAAGCATCTGCAGCAACATAAAAACGTATTCAATTGTGTTTAACACAACGATGCCCAAATATATTTGGCCATAAAATTCTAAAACATGTATTTATATTTTAAATGTGTCTGTTAATTTACATCTATATAATAACTGTGTCTATATCTATAGAGAGATGGATATGTATCCTGAAGAAATGGTTTCTAATAAAATACACATAACAGAATACTGGTCTTGGTTAGACTGTGTTGGTTATATTGGATGTGAGCGTAGGCTACAGGTGAGTAAGACCCTGCCCTCCAAGTAGCTACTGTATGAAGTGATGTCTATGGGAGGCTTTAATGGGGAGAAGATAATGTGGTATTGCAGGAAAAAGAAACTCTGGGTACTAGAGTTAATGAATATGGGAACCCAGTGAAAGTAGAGAAAGACAGCAAAACTTCTGAATTTGTAACACCAGCCTCGTCATACTTAAATGCCCCAAAGAGCTGATTTTGAGCCCTGATAGTTAAGAGCTGATTTTGAACCCTGATTTTGAGCAGGATGGCTAAAACCAAGAACTATACTCCTGGCCAGGCACAGCGGCTCTCACTTGTAATCCCAGCACTTTGGGAGGTTAAGGTGGGTGGATCACCTGAGGTCAGGAGTTCGAGACCAGCCTGAACAATGTGGTGAAACCCTGCCTGTACTAAAAATACAAAAATTAGCTGGGCGTGGTGGTGCATGCCTGTAATCCCAGCTACTAGGGAGGCTGAGGCAGGAGAATCTCTTGAACCCAGGAGGCGGAGGCTGCAGTGGGCCAAGATCATGGCACTGCACTCCAGCCTGGGTGGCAGAGCAAGATTCTGTCTTTAACAAAAAAAGAATGAATGAATGAA